CCTAACATTCAAGAACCATGTTTGTTAATAATAATATTTCTGACACTCAAACCAAAAAACAAGTTCCTTTCTACAAAAAAACTGATCCATATTTTACTTCCAAAGAGTAAACTAAATTGCAAGACGGGGCAAAATCATAGCATCAAAAACAATAATTTAATCCCAGCCACTTGCTTGGACAGATTCAACTCCGGAAGGAGGAAGAGGGATTTGTTGTGGTGGTGGAACAGCCTCGCCCCAATCTCCTGCAGCTGCAATTTCTAAACAAAAAATGAATGCAAAGATCCAGACATCACAAATGTACACGCATTTTGTATTTGCATCATGTCACAAATTAAAAAAAAAAAAGACAACCAAAACGAAAAGTAACAGATGCAATGATCAGTCAACATTAACGATGACAATATACATAAAACAATAGAATACGTAAAATAACTCAGTTTAGTTTAGTGTATGGTTAAAACAAATTAATGACGTACCGGGTGCATCTGTAGAGGCTGGTGCTCCCCAGTTGACGCCAGGTACAGCGGGAATAGGTTGTGGAACTGCATCTGTCCACGATTGATCAATTGTACCGGGCCACTGGCCATCAGAAGCAATAGCACCAGGATTATAGTCAGTGATGGCATAATCACCAGCAGGAGCTTCCTCCTCCTCTTGTTGCTTAGCCTCCTCTGGTTCTCTATAGAAGAACAAGTCCACCTGCATCAAACAAAAGATTAAGAAAACAAACTCCTTCAATATCCTCCCAAAAATCTGCCTCTCTCAAAATTATACCAAATAAGCTCATTAACAATGCCACTAAGAAAAGTAAACCAAGAAAATACTTACCATAACATCCCATTTGAGGCCAGGACGAATGGTACCCCTCATTTGCAACACCATCCTGGCAAGAAGCCAAAAGAGACACCCAATGCTGTGTTTGCCCTTGTTGTTGGCAGGAATCCCAATGTCCACATACCTCATGGGTGAGTCAGTGTCACAGAAAGCAATGGTTGGAATGTTTCCAAGAGCACCTTCCTTAATGGGCTGCAAAATAAACCCATATATATTAAAATCACAAAACAGGCAACATCAAGGAAAGAAAAACATGAAACATAAAAACCCAAAAATCCTTATCCCAAGAGGGGTTGTCCGCAAAACATGAATCAACAATCACCATTCTATTAAGGAAAATTAGACTAACTACCAAATCAAATGAAGCTAAAGTCAAACATATGCATTTCACATATTACTGTTTAAGTTGAACATGAACCTGATGATCTGTTCTGGGATCCGTAAGGATAAGGAGGCGAGGCTCGCTAAAAGAGGTTTGGAGCTGATTGGTAAAGGTACCAGGAGTATGCCTTCCAGCAATGGCATGAGCACCAGTGTACTGAGCAAACTTGAGAACCGCTCTCTGACCATAAGGGCGAGCAGATTGCACAATAATATCCTGAGGGTTCTCAATTGCAACGATAACCCTAGCAGCAAGTTGAAGCTTCTCCCATGTCTTACCAAGGTTGATAATGTAAATACCTAATACCAAATCCACACCACAACAATTCAAAACCATACTCCCATCCTGCATCTATCGCAGATTCAAAATTGTATAACACGACGCGGCTGTCTATTGTATAACGATAGAGATAAAAAAAAATGTTAGTTACCGTCGTTGCGGCGCTTGAAGATGTAGCGCTCCATTTGAAAATCACAGTTTTTGGTGCCGAGGTGAACGTCGGCTGCCAACATCATCTGGATGTCGGTTTCCTTTGGAGAGAGCTGGCGCGGCGGAGCAGCGGCGTTGGTTGTGGCGGCCATGGATATGTTAACTCCGAAACAAGAGCTCGAAAATCCTAGTGTTTCAGAGAGTGCAGATAGGACCTCAGAAGAGAAACCGCGCGCCGCAGAAGTTTCGCCAGTGAGTTTTACTTTTTTTAGGCTAACGGGTCAGTCAACCAGCAGGCCCAATTAAAAGATGGACAACCAACGAACAAGCCCAGTAACAGAAGGCCAACCAATGAGCACGACTAATAAAAAGGATTGTTTTCGAGAACATTATTTCTTTGTCTGAAATTAACCTTTGTTTAAATTGAAATAGTGAGTGATGTAAGTTCACTACTATAATATATATATATATATATATATATATATATATATATATATATGGTTTAACTTCCATGTTTTAATTTACAAAATATCCTCATCCAGTAATCTTAATAACATAATTTATTGTATAAGTTAAGCAACAAGTTAGATTAGATACAAATATATATTTACCATTTGACTCGAAAAAAAATCATTTATTACTAGTTGGATATTTGTTTAAAAAAATATTTGCAAGTTTAAAAAAATATGTAAATATTCGTAAATATCCAAAAATATTTAAAAATTATATTTTATTAACTTTTAAAATTAAATTAAATTTTAATTTTAATTAAATTTAACTTAATAAATATAATTAGATTTTAATTTTAATTAAATTTAACTTAATAAAATATATATTAAATTTTTATTTTTATGTATCTAATCTTCTTTCAAACAACTTAAGTTAGAAATAAATACATTAAAAGAAGGTAAAGATTACAACCTTACAAGAACACTTGTATAACATTAACCTTTAATAAAACAAAAACAGTTATTTATGATAATATTACACACAGGCATCCTACAAACCTTGTCTACACCGCAAGTCAGAATCACAAATTAGATTTACAGCAAAAGTAAGAAACAAAAACACCTTAGTTCAGATTTTGAATACAAAAAACCATAGTCCTTCACTCATTAGCCTCATCCAACCATTGCTTGAATCCTTGTAGACTTGATTTTAACACGTTGATGTTCTTTGTCTTCCAAGAATGTTTACTTGTTTTCTTTCCTTTCACACCAGTATTCTGAATGTCTATTATTTTATTTGAAAATGAAACTAAACTCATTTATATACAAAAACACAATTATAAAAATTTTAATCAATTATGTCAATAATATAATTGATTAAAACAGATAACCAACTTTTTTTACATGTATTTTTAACCTATTTAACAATTAGTTAATAACCTAATAATCCTAACTTCTTCAAATAGGAAATCATCAAAAATATTTTTCAAATTTTAAAAATAATAAAAAGTAAGATAGATTAATGTCAAATGAATATAAAGAATTTGTGTCAAATTTTTTTATCTGAAAATGATATATTAATACAAATTTTTTGATAATGTTTTAATACAGTATATACGTCTCATTTTTTTCATTAAGTTTAGATCACAATAACAAATAAATAATAAGTCAATAAAAAATGACACGTATATTATATTAAAATATTGTAAAAAATTATGTGTCAAAATATATTTTTTTCTGTTACATAAAAAAAAGTTATGCAAAAATACTATAATTTATTCACTAACATATATAATTTTGTGTTCATTTATTACCTCTCATGTAATCATCTATTCATATCAACATCTCAATCACTTAACTTTACTTCAAAAAAAGATTTGTGTTGAATTAAATTAAGAGATTCCCATATGTTACACCACATTTTAAGTTGTCATACCAACAAATCTATATAATACCAGCATATCTACCATGTGCCAAGATAAATCCTTATGACTTATGATAAATATGTAATTGTTTTTACATATTAGGTCATAAAAATTACCTAAAAATTATCTTCTATTCTTACCATTTAGATATTTTCTTCTCTATCAACCCAATATCAACAAAAGTTAAGATATTTATATACAATATCAAATTTCACATACAACTTAAACATTTCGACATTATATTCTCTTCCTGAAAATAATTATATTTATAACCAATCACATGTCATATTACAATACAATCATCATATATTGTTATTCATACACATCTCAACTCAACTCATATTTCGTTCCATATAATACATAATTTACATTATATATTTCAATTTCTATATATATTTCATTCCACATAATACATAATTCACATAATAACTCATATTTCAAATTTACCATTCAAAACCATGTATCCCAACATAAAATAAATATCAATAAATTTTAATTCAACAATCATCACGCTATAATGACAATTTTATAAATATATAGTGAAATATAAACAACATTGCATTTATAAACATTTAGAAGCATGTTATTTAAAGCGTATAAAAACGTTCATTTTATTCGAAAAATTAAGCGTTTCTAAATTCTCCTACTCCCCCTCACCATTATGCTTACTCGCTCAGCCAATGATCATTGTTGCTCAATGAACAGGTTTTCAATAAATTGAATTTTTCCAATAACTAAATCTCAAGATTTTCAAATAAAGAAATTTTACATATGTGGGGAAACAATTAAACAAAATTACATATTGTATCAAATTATTCTTAAAAAATGTTTCAATTTTTTTTTCATAAACATAATTGAGTTATTTATTTATGAATAAATCTATTTTTAACTATATTACTCACCTGCAAATATTTCGATTTTAACTACCAAAACATACAACATTTATCTAACTCGATTAAAATATTCTTAAACTGGCTTTTTCGTGTCTTCAAATTTAAGATATTTTTAATTAATTTATACTTAATAAGAAAGTTAGTTTATAAGTTTTATTGTGTTTTCAAAATTATCGTAACAGTTTTTTAGATTTATCATTTACTGTTGAATGATAAGAGACCAAGAGTCTTAAAAAAAATAGTTTTATACTTTTGGATTTGAGTTTATTTAATTTTTCAAAATGAAAAATTATATGAGCTAATTCAATGAAGAATGTTTTAAATGGTAAAAAAATGTTCAAAGGGTGGCAACGTTACTCAAATTGAATAAAAAATTTATCATTGATCTTCATCTCTCGTAAATTGCTTGCAAAAATGCACACCTTTCTGCACTTTCCTCCTCACTGCCTCGTTTGAAAGAACAGATACTTAAAAAAGCTTAACCAGCTTAATTTTTATTTAAAGAAAACTTTATATATAGAAAAGTTATTTCCTCTCTCTCCAGCCTCTCATAACATCTGTTCAAAGCCAAAGGAAATAGAACCTCAAATATCCAAAGGAACCAAAAATGTTGTCTGCATATGATTTATTGAACAGTTATAACCTCAGAAGCAGCTATGCATTTTTTTGGTTTTTCACTTTAAATTATGTACAGAGTTGATGATGATGATATTGCGGTAAGTTTTGGGAGGAAGAAAAATGAATTACCTATTAACATCTACCGTTACCTCCCAAATGGATGCTATTGAAGGAAAACTATAATGAGTAACTCAAATGTTGTTGCCCCCATGAACAAAACTCAGCCTGTCAGCTGCTGCCACTGCTATTTGTCTGCTTTTGGATGATGATATTCTTACCATTTTTTATTTATGTACAGCAAGTCAGAAGCCCCCAAATCCTTCGGATGGGATCATAATAGTTAAGACACTATATTCTCCAAGCAAAATGCATCTCTTCTTCATTTACCCAACGTTCAAACCTTTCACTGTACTTCCTATCTTTGTTCAGTTCTTCTGCACTCTGCCTTCCCTGAAATACATTCAAGCAGATTTTAGCCACCACTTGGCTTCATGCAAGACAAGAATGTACTAAACATCATTGAAAAATGTCTTTAACACCAACATTCACATGTGTTGTCTCGGACTTTACATGAGAATGTGTGATTGGATGGTAGGATAAATTGGTTTTACACTGACATTGGACATTTATCATAGTTGAATGTAGGAAAATGAATGTACTTATACAGTTTGATTCTGAGAATTTTTAGTGCAGAAGATGGTAGAGGATTTGTGGTAAAAATTGAGGTCCCAGTTGCTGAAACTAGGCTCTCAATACTTGTAAATATAATGCTAATGTATTTGCATTGTCAAGTTGATCTTCTAAGTTCTAAACACAAGTTCAGAAGCAAATGTGATATTCAGAACAATTTATAGGGCATACAAGAATTACAGACAGAAAGGCCCTATTGTTGTTTAAGGCTTTGGAAGTTATCTTCCTTTGTTTCTTCTTAGAAAACTCTTAGTGAATCATATTTCGTCCTCAGAGGAAGTGATATGTTATTCAGTAATGGCTCTGCAAACTAACATACACTGACCTTAAGGCTGGATCCAGATTCACTAGCAGATGTCTCGGTGGTTACTAGTTCATTTGCGATATTCTCCGAGGAGATGCTGGTTGACCTGTAAAACCAACAACATTGGCATTTGTCAACAACAAAACCTTGAAAAATGCAGACTAATCCCGAGCTCAAGAACGGGGTTTTTACTCCAAAATATTGATATTACTTAAATTTCTCGACTGTTTTTATTCAAATATACAGCAAAACAAGCATTGAAAAGAAAAAGATAAGAACTTCTTACTACTTCTTCATTGTCCTTCAACAATAACAACAAAGTCATGTGCCAGTGGGTGAGCACTTAGTCTGAGAATCCATTGAGGACTTTGCACATGGTGCAAGTATTGCTCACTCTAAGAAAACAACTAAAAAGGAAATCCATCCCCTCCTAATTTCACTTGAGGATTCACTTCAGTACAAAACCCAAGACTAACATTTTACTACAATCTAAAGATAAAATCCTTTCACTAATATGCTCAATTGAAAGAGGTGAGTGAAGGTTTCCAGATATAACACCAGATAGACACTTTAACATTTGCTAAGCTAGATAAAATGCTTTCCCTCCCTCTAATTATCTCCCCTAAAGTCAAAATCTTGCTTCCCATAAGTCATAATTGCACAATATCTGGGTATTGCATAAAGAAAAGGAAGGCACAACTCCATCACTCTCTCCTCATCAAAATTTTAATTCAAAGATGAACCTCACAAATTCAATGAAATATACAATTCTGTAATAAAAGCATTCTTATTCACTCACCCATTTAACATGTGCCTCTGCACCTTTGATCAAAGATTCAAGGAAAGCATAACACAATGGTGAAGAAAAGACCATAGTTTAAAATCACTGTAATTAAAGATGGCAAGGGTATGTGATTACTAATCAAAGTTTTAGAACTACCTTTCAAGTAATTCCTCTTCACAGGAATTTCCAGAAGAAGAAAGCCAGTCCACATCAAGGAAATTGGAGCAGTCACATGCATCACCATGTTCATCGTAACAAATATGACCACTCTCACAATTTTTGCCCTTGACCATTCCTCCGTATATCTGCCTGTATGATTTGAAAAAACAAAAACGGTCAAAAAACTTGGATTTATTTAGTAAATCATATCAGCTCAAACTATGGAGCATAGTACACATAAAAGACCAGGTTACTAAGGTGCCTGACTCATTCTCCTCTATATTCTCTTGTGAAGGGCAAATCAAATGTAACAAAAACAAGATACGTTATTATTAACAAATCTGAAATAAGCACTCAGTAGTAGTAGTATTTACAAAAGATTAAGGCAGCAGCTTATTATTTTACACTTCTTTAAAAAAATTGCTTCTAACAAACTTGGAGTAGAAAAAACCTACCACCTAGCAAAATATGATGCTGTCATGCTGACCCGTGTTAAATAAGTTTGGGAACTTTAAAATATTTAAAACACTTGAAATTATAGGAATTTAGATGAGACTGAAATATATCTTAGTGATGTGATACATCATACAAAAAACACTAATCCCTCTTTATGACATAATATTTCTCTAATAAGGAAATAATCATTATACATGATGAAACTTGAAAACCACTTCTAAGAGAACATCTAAAAATAAGATACTCTATAAAACAAATAAAAATGACACAAGAATCTTCTAAGTAATAATGCTTAAGGAAGGGTTTCCTGGGGATACACAAAAATCTTTCATTTCTCCTCCCACAATTAAAATATAATAAAAAATTCCAGACAGTCGTGAGGTTTGCATGAAATACTTTTTAAACAAGAGATTATGTGGGCCTAATCCACCCTCCTTTACAGGACCTAGTGCCCTACAAAGCATGTAGCAACTGATAGCATGGTTCCTCCTACGACCCTAGATAACCTATCATATAATTCAGTAGAGTGAATGCAGTTCAAATAAGAAACCCAGTTCTGCCTAACTCTGAGGCTGTGTTATTATCAAATTTTCAGCTGGCCTTTCAGATAAGTTACATTACGTGCCTTAATTTAGCATGCAAAATGCCAACTTAGCATACCTGCAATGACAAATATCACTTCCACAAATAAAGATATCCGGCGTAGATCCCAAGCGGAAATGCTTATCAGGTTTTTCAGATGATTCCTGACAATTTGTATCATTCAAGTTCCTAATGGAAGCATCACTTTCACCGAGAATGTTACCATCTGATAGAGATCTCGTAATAGTTGACCTGCCAATATAAAGGAAAAGCGTCAATCTTCTCACAAAGAAATACTTAAAGACAATATCATTTAATAAAATCCACAAGGAACAAATAACTTGTACTCATTTGCTTTCATCCTCAAAAGACAAGAGTAAATTTGAGATTACGCTTTGCCTATATAATATTTCTATTACATAGATTTTAAGTCAAAGCAAACACCATCAATACTACTGAAACTACATACACTGATTTGAAAAGGTATTCTCTCACTCAAATCATCAATATCTATCTATATGCTTGAACAATATTTTCAGCTTGAGAATCACGCTCAAAGTTAAAAGATGGATCCAAACAGAAAAATTATAACTGAAGTTTGTCAAAAAATATCAGAAGTTCATATATGCGAATTAAATTCTTGAAAATTTAAAACTCAACGCTTGATTAAATGAAAAGGACAAAAACTAGTGCAACTCAATAATCCACTCGTTACCTAATGCTGCCATCTGTTAAATAAAGGCCACGTCTCTTGACAGCGTAATACTGATCTGAATCAAGCTCCCACAGTGCTGGTTTTCCCTGTTGCGGCTGAAAATGACCCAAGAATCTGACCCAAACAATAACATAAACAACAATAGCCATCTCATTTTAATACACTCCACTTACAAAAACTGCTTGTGTTTACTCTATAAACCATATTAGATATGGAAACAATTGTGCAAAAATACAATTAAACAAATGGGCTTATTTAGCTTACAAGTTAATTGCTTTTTGTTTATCACCATCTAAATATGTGTTGTTGTAATAACGTTGTAGGGTTCGAATAAATTCCTGGGACTGTGTTGCTGCCTTCCATTGACCTCTTCTTTCAGAAAATATCTAAATAGCATCCCAATCACAATATAAAGGAGTGAGCGGTAATCACTAATCAGAAAAAAATTTCATGCAAGGAAAACATAACAAGTGGCAAATTTAGATCTCCCTTTCAAAACTTTGGGAAAATTGTGATGGCCTCTCTAGTAAATTAATCATTAAGGTTAAATATCAATGGTTGTTTGAGCTATTTCAGAACTTTTAAATAAACTTTTAGGTCCTTTAAACAACTATAATTCAGTATCTTGATTAGGGTTTTGCCAAGGTTATAAAATAATCCAGATTCAGTATAAGTTTTAAAAATATAGGGAGCCTATTTAAACAAGAATTATGTAATAGTAATAACTGCATGCATACAATCAACCAAACCAACAACAAATTAAACACTATAGCAGAAAGTTGTGAATCAAATACATGTCTGGAAAAAGAGGCATATGTTCACTGGAGACAACCTAATAAAAGCAACAAGCTTGCAGCTTAGATTAACTTGCGTCATTTTGGATTCCATCTTACACTTTGGACGCAGTCATGCAGAATTTCTGAATGGTATAAAGTCAAAACTCCTAAACTAGAGAGATTACCTTGTTGTGTGCTGCAGAACCCCCATATTGAAAGGCTAATGTGTCTCCCATGGACTCATAGACTTCCATTAATTCCCCAGCCAAAGGGTTATCAAGATCAATATGTTCAGATTCAATAAATCCTAAAACTTGAAGCTGACGTCCAAGTGCAGCCAGTCCATAAGCATATTGAGCAACATTGGTACGATCTAAACAGTCTATGCAGTTAGTCCTCAACACCCCGGATTGAAGCATCTGGGGTTTGACACTGTAATCTTTGTTCTCATCATCCCTATAATAACAGTTGCTAATTTCTGTTTCTGTATCAACATTATTCTTATTTATGTTGGCTTCTTCTGTGATACAGTGATCAATGACATTGTTATTCCTGCATTATATTACAAAAAAGATCATCAACAAATGATAGTAAAAAAACAACCATTCATGAGTTTTTACCTAACAGCTTATGCTTTTAGAAGACTTGGTGCACAACACAATTTCAAAACTTTCAGGACTAAAAGGTTTCAACACATGGTAGGATCAGCATGTGCATTGTCTGTGCTTCAGGCCCAGAAAGCTCATTCACAATGGGCATTTTACTTAAGATATTAATTAAAAAATACAAGAATCTTCACCTAATAGCTCAAGCTTTTTGAGGGAGTTACTCCATGACAAATAATATTAGTAGCAATAACATCGAGGCAAAAACAATTGTAGAGTAATCAAATGAAATGTCAAGTTGCATAATTAGTACAAAAGTAAACTGGACCGAAACTTACTCAGAGTAGGAATATTGGGATAATCCATCTAGCCTCATATTTGGGGTCACTGGAGAGTAGAAGATGCCTGTCAGCTTCAGAGCATATGCAGCCACTTTTCCCAGCTGTCCCAATACATTAGTAGCTTTGCTGCTAAAGGTCATTGATTTAATAAAATAACACCCCATGAATAAACCTGAACCGGATGGACAAAAAAGGGAAGAGTAAGTTACCATCTTGAATGCCGATGCAGATCCCAATGAAGGAACCTCAAGCGATCTTCCCCGCTCAAACTTTTATTAATATACCTAACGGCATTTGCAAACTCGGCTCGCAGAATAGTTTCTCGAGGCCTCTTCTCACGTGTCTTAAACAGAGAAGACAAAAGAATATATAAGGTAGAAAATCTTTTGGTTTAGAGAAATGGAAAAGAAAAGAAACTTGCTTAACGGTTCAGTTACATATATGGAAATGCCTACCTTTATCAAGTTCAGAATAATAATTGGCTTTCCATATCTTTTGACAAGATTATCAAAATGAAGTCTTGTGGCCTCATAAGTAGAGTCCTTTCTTGATACTGAAGAAAAGTAAAGAAAATGAGCAATCAGCACAAATTTTAAAACAAAATAAGTAGCAGAGGATAGTTGCTTCCATATCATACATACATATAATGTCCGGTTTTATATTCAATCTAGAGGCTTCCTGAGACCAGAACAGAGGGATTGAACCCCTGTTCTGCACCACGGAACTGATTTGCATAGGGTGTCCATCACGAGCTTCTGTAAAGACTATCTGCTCTGTCTCAACATCATTAGCTACTCTACCCTTTTCATTAACTCCTCGTTTCAAATATCTGCACAAGTGCATTGATATGAAATAAAATGCAATTTTAATCTTAACAAACATGAGAAAAGCCTAAAAAATATATAAACCTGGTCCCAGCATAATGCCGTGAGCGCCTAGCAATGATAGTCAAGTTGAACTCACTGTCAGATATGGAAAGTTTGACCTACATACCATAACGCTTGTCAACAAGATAACTTTCTTGGAATACGTAATACTAGTATTTTTCTAGCACTACTAAGATGAATCTAGAAGCCAATAAATGAGTAACCATTAAAAGTTAGTCAGCAATAAAATGTTAGAAAAACTTCCTAAGGTAAATTTAATCAAACCTGGACTTGAGGAATGAATTTCCCAATGTAGTACAACTAAAAAACTAATAATTTATGGTTTAATAAATGCAGCATGAACTATATTAAAGGAAATGCAAACAAATAAGATTAGTTTCACTCCACAGAAAAATTGGTGTTAGCTACTCAAATCATATATCAGGCTAAGAAACAGGTAAAACATTCACGACTCACTAGCAATACCATTAACTACAGTGGTTACCTTCAAAAAATATCTGTTAGTTAGCCAACAAAGAAAATTTCAAATGTACCTGTTTAAAAAATCCATGTACTAAGGCTACAGTCCATGAAGTATTCTGGAGATTATTCCTGATTCCACGAGTCAAGAACTCATTCCAAACAAAAAGGGTATCATATAGTGATTGCCCTGTAGTATTATGATCAGATAAGTTGCGTTGAAGACTAAACATAACATTGTAGGAGTAGCTGAAAAAGAAGTCCTTCGCAAGATCCACACTGCATAGAAGCTTCTTGTATCTAAATCACCACAGAAGAAAGAGCAAAGCCCATTAATAAGATGGTTTTTACATAAATAAATAAAAGTGAAAGAAATTGATTGAAATCAACTTATGAAACCGATAACTCTAACCAAACGTATCAAAAAATTAAAAATAAAGTGATCTCCCAGTTGAACTTGAAACCTTGGCAATACCTTCTCTCAATCAAAAAGTTACATAACAGCAATGAAGATTGCTCCTGTACATTTGCAGGAAATTAAATGACAATAAATGTAGAACAAAGGAGGTATACACTATACAATATACATATTACATGACTCCAAAACCTTGAAGAAGCATTACTGATTCTATTTCACAACTAAGAGATGATTAAAGTGTACCACAGAAAGAAAGATGAGAAGGTTGCTCTGAAGAAGCCCACATTGTGGATACAGACTGAAGAGAGACAATCAACATATACAGTACACATAAACACTCCAAAATGTATAATTTCAACACAACTATGCTCTAACAGAATGTTTTAACAGCGCAGTGTAATGAACTCAATAAAAAATTGTAATTCATAACATCTAAGTACAATGGAAAAAGTATACTTCTCAACGCTACACTCTACATTTCTCTTTAAATTTGCCATAGACACATTACAATTACATGCAAAATTGACTAAAGACCTGTTCTCATCCTTAGAATAAGCCATTTTGGATCGCACGGTAGAATGTGGAATTGGAACCATTTCGCTCTTTGTGATAGCATATATATTGTGACCACAGATTGTGCCGATCTTCCTTCGCTTCGTTATAAGCAGCATGTAATATGGTTCAAGAAATTTGATAAATCCTAATCACATGAAAAAAATTATTATCTATTCTGATGAAAATGGTGGGGAACAAGCCTAGGATAATAATAACAATTTAGATCTTATACAGAAATAGAAAAATACCAATGATTCCATAGCAAGTTGTTACAAATTTAAGCCCTCCTGTAGACTTGTTTCCTTCATGTACCCGCCTCAGAAGGTCACAACACTCAATTTCTGAGTATATTGCTGAATCTTCAACGATATTCAATTCAGATGGTTCCAATCTGTCAATCTTTAAGACCCTCCAAAATGTTCTGTTTTTGTCTCTTCCGATCATGTAAAATTTCTGAGTGTAGAAAAGTTGTAAGACCACAATGATAGTGCTTTGTAGTTATATTATGTGCATAGACAAAAATTTTAAAAAATATTAATAAAGGAAAAGAACACCTCGGCTAACATTCTGTGTAGCACTAATAAAAACAACTAAATTTAATGGCAAACTTATTTCTAAAACAATTGAAAGTAGTTTTATTTTCTAACATAACAAAAACCAGCATAATAGTCATTTAATGCATACAGGTGTCAAGGGATGGTGTCAATATGAACCTAAATGTCAAATGAGAAATAGTTTTACTTAGTTCAGATTTAGAGGGTGGGTTTTAAGCACTATGCAGTTTCCAGACATTGTGACAATGCCACATTGAGCATGCAAGGTTATAAACAATTGCATACATATTACATGTTGCGCATGGAATGTATATGAAATGAGCAATTTATTGCTTGAACCAGACACTACGCTTTCTGTAAACCCAAACAACTTCAGAAGGTGTCATTCTCACATAGTTATAACATAATAAATCCAAAGTAGAAAACGAAAACAACATTCTACCCAGAGAACAACAATCAACATCATTATATTACCATTTCAAACAAAAAGGATGGTTGATAGACCAAGAGACAATGATGTGAAAGCACGTGACAAATGAGGGTGACATGAGTGAGAAGATCAAGTGATTAACGTCAAACAAAATTCAGATGCTAACTCTATCAACCTTTCTCATTTAGGTCTCGTTTCCCACTAAAACAGTTTAATTATATTGTTTTTTATTCTACATTTTTTCACTTTTGCTCCGATTTAATCGAAGCTTCTGAACAAGGCTACTCATTTTTTTCGAGATTGAGGGGAATAAGACAGAACATACCAGCAGTGGCTTTAGACAGAAAAAACAAAAATATGTGAGAGTGGAGGCAAATGAAGGTGACAGGATCTATAAGAAACAAGAAGTGAAATTTAATTCTTTCCTTTTTAGGTCTCCTTTCCTGAATAAGAATGTAACACTTTAATAAAATGATTTTAGTTAACTTTTTTTTCCTTTGCCCCATTTTCATAAAAATTTCTGGATATATTTAGAAGGCTACTCAATTTTGCATTACAGAGGAGAGCAGGACAAAATGGACAAGCAATGGCTTTGAGATGGAAAACATAAACGATGTGAAAGTAAGACATAAATGAAGGTGACACATTCATGAGAAGATTAACATTGACAACTTTACTTTATTTTCCTTCAAGGTCGGTCTCATTTTCCTGAATAAGAATGTAGCAGTTTAGTTCAATAATTAAGGTTCCTTTTCTTACCTTTATCCCTTTTCATCAAAATTTCTGCATATATTTCACATCATTTTTTTTGGGATAGAGGGTAGTATGAGAAGAACAGAAATGAAGTGGCCACCTTTTCATGACAAACTTCAGCAATTTCGAATTCCAAAATAAAAAACTGAAACCAAAATATATTCCAGATCCGACCAGATGCATGAAATTGATGAAAGAAAATAAAAAAACAATAACCCTGGTTTCCCAATGAATGCTTGTTAAACACTCAATCAGTAGATATCACAAAATTTTGCAGTAAGATCCAATGAATTTGGTGTCAACAAGCTCAAAGTGGACAACAAAGTTTAGGTGTTTAATAATCCATTATACACAAGTAAACCAAAAATATTTAGGGGGAAAATAAACAAAAGGCAGTGTAAACATAGTCAGACAATAAATACAATCTAAAAACAGTGGGGTTAAAGAAGTCCACGAACAGTTGTTCTGCAAATCATTTAATACTGACATTTATTTAACCTCACAAGCATCATGACGAAAACAAATGAAAGTTACAAATAACTACTTTGAATGATTGAAGTCAGGCACAACTCATCAATGCCTTATGGTGAAACGAAATCCACAAGAATCCAGACAAGACAATAGCTCATAAAACCAATCTCACAAGGACATGTATCCAAATCCCAAATGGAAAGCTCCTCATATAGAAAACCAAACTTTCCACATGACTTTGGTTCCTTTTCCCAATGCAAAAACATTATGATTCATCGCTGAATTTGTGCACATAATCATGAATTCGACAAGGGAAAGAAAGGAAAGAAATTCAAGAATCAAACCCAAACAAAACAACATCTTAAATCTTAAATCAATAAAAGAAAAAATAAACATGCTGAACTGAAAAGAAATTCATATCTAGATCATGGTCAAAAAATAATGTATCTGTAACACACAAATCATTGATTTGAAAGAAAAAAGATTAGACGTATTTACCGAGCGAGTCTCATAGAGCCTGAACTTCTGCATATAACAAGACTTAAGGTCGGCTTCATCTGCAACAGCATCGTTCTTCTGCAGCTTCTCCTTTGTTGAATTTGAATCCATCTTCACAATTCAGATCCCGAGCCTCAAGAAGCTCGGGTTTCCAATGAGATCACCAGCAGAAAATTCGAAAAAAATCACCAACAAAGAGCTTCTGTTTGATCAAACAGAAGCTCTTCGCGCTTCCAAACACAAACAAAAAAGCACAACAAAACTCCCCCCAAAAGGCCAAGAACTTTACATCAAACACAAGCTCCAGAATACACACACCCACAAGAACTACAATACAAATCTCAAAAATTTACATCCAATGGCACATATAAAATTCCCTTAACAAAGACAATGACACCAAAAATTCAAAAGGGACAAAAAATGAAAATTAAAAAGAGAGGTTCAATTGAATCAAATCAGAAACCAAGGAGAAAGGAGGAAAAAAGCAGCTTTTTTTATGAATCTAAGAGAGTGGATGGTTTTGGGGAATGGAGAAGAAGCAGGAGCAGCTTTTGGGTCTCAGATGAAAAGGAGGTGAAAATGAGATTGTCAGGGAAGGAAGCAGAGAGGAGAAGAAAGCCACTGCATCCACACACAAAAAATAAAATTAAAAAGAAAACAAAATGAATGAATGAATGAAAATCATAATGAGAGATGCAAAGCAGTAAAACAATTTTAAAAGACAAAATTGGTGTTTTCTCTGGTTTGCGTGTTCGCATTTTCTCTCTCTACCTGTGTTCCAAAAAATTTGTCAGCATATGTGAAATGTGTGACGTTTTTCTCTCTCTTTTTTCTTAATTGTTTTTGAACCTTCTCTTTCTTTTTTAATACCAAAATAAATTTTCAATCATCTTAATTAAGATTAATTAGCTGTGTAACTGATTTTAATTATTATATTTTAATGATTTTTGTCCTAAAATACAGTTATTTAATATAACTGTCAGATATAAATGATTTTTTTTCAAGTGACAATTAATTATATAGTATTATTTTGTTGATAGTGAAAAGAGGTTTATTTAACTGAAATAATTAGTATATTTGAATAATTATTTTCAAAGTTTATTAAAATCTTACGTTAAAAAAAAAAGTTTAAATTAATTTATATAAGATAAAAAAACAGTTTTTTAGATAAATTAAAATATTTGTAAAAATATATTCTATGAGATAAACTTATTATTTATTCGTTTCTACAATATTCAAATAATATATTCAAAATAAATACTATTAAACATGCATGTTAAAAATTTAAAACTTTGATTATACATACTATTATCATTCAGTTAATTTTATCATTTAATGTTTTTCTTTTGTTATCAATTTTTGTTAATGTTTTATTAGTCTGTTAAATCCTTAACGAGATAACAAAGTATTCCAAAGAAATTTTTAAAAACAATATCATAATTATATTAATTTGAAAAACCAACAGACGGTATTTTAGTTTTTATACTGTTTTGCACATTGTCTTTTCATTAAAATATTAATGGATTGATAAAATTATAAATTTTTTAATAAATGTTATAAGTGATAAATTAAATAACAATATATGTAATTAAAGAATTTTAGTTAATTGACGTGTAAGCTGGTTAAACAATTATTAGCCTTAATCACTGATTATTTGAATTATAATAAAAGTGTTGACATATTTATAATTAAAAGTACTCCTACGTCTAATTATAAAAAATATATATTTGATATTACTATTATTATATTTCTGTAAAGAACTAACAATTAGAAAAACACAAAAAATAAATGTCAAAACATTATTTCACTTATAATAAATCAAAGCTATTTCCTAAAAAGTATAATAAAATGTGAAAAATCATGTGAGAACATTTTTTCTAAACTTTATGAATGGTTGATCACGTGATCCATAAATCACATATATTTATTTCATAGTTGGTCCAGTTATTGTTACTTAGTGATTTGGTTAAACTCATAGTTTGAAAAACATATAGCTTATTACTTCAAGCAAAAAAATTCTCAAATTAAACATATCCTTAATATCCCAACAAATTCATACATATTATCCAAATTGTAAAATAAAACATTCATAGTAAAACATCAGTTATCATTCATTAATATTTTCAAATTTTATTTGTCAAATTGTAAAATATTATAATTAATAAGTATTGTTTCGGGTATAAAATTAAAGTTAATTATCTAAATTGTGTTATTGAAGGTCTGAACGCTATCTTGAAATCCATGTGTTGGGTAGAACTAATCGTCTGAACATTTTAGAAGATATTTGCACAAGATTGTTGATAGATGGAAATTAATGATATAGTAAATACAAATCACCTATCTCAAACCTCTGTTAATAGATTTTAGTGTAAGCTTTTAATTAACACTAATTTAATCATGTACACTTCATCTTTAAATTGATTAATATTAAGATTAATATGCTTTGACTTATGACCGATCAATTTACTTGATGGTAGATCGGATTTATTAATAACTCACTAAATGATCTAAATTATAATTAATCGTTCGAAATGTAATTAACCAGACCTTTTCAATTATTTTTTAAATAAAAAGTATACCTTGTTAAATTATAACATGTGGTGATTAATTTACACATTTAGCTGGAGTATATAAAATTAGTACGTTGAATCTTTCATAATTTCTCTAATCATAGTATCTTTTTGAAGAAAAACAAAAAAGAAGAAGGGGCGTGAGTATTATTTTAATCATCCACTATGATTATGATTGTAAATAAACAATGCATTTACTTCATAACAATGGAATAGAATAAGAATATTAAATTTTAAAGAAAAATATTGAGTTGATTCCACGCAGAGAAGGAATATACTAATAGATGGCTTCAAATACCAATAATTTATGGTTTATAATATTTTTTCACATTCTTCTTTTCTTCTTTTCTTCTCCACCACGTCTCCTCTCGCTTTCTTAATCTAAGATCTAACTTTTCAATATTCTTATAAAGAAAATATATCATACATATATTAAATTAAATATTTAAAATAATCACGATAAGTTAATTTTTTTTTATGAGTGTTATTGTATCATGTAACATTTAAAACTTGATAGTAATCATTTTAATATAATATAATATCCGAACTTCCTAAAAAAAATATATTTTTAAATTAAAGATATGAGTTTTATTAAGAATATAAATTTTAAATATTTCACCTAATTTTTAATAAAAAGAGTAATAGAATATTAAAGTCTCAAACTTATGATTCTACTATTAGTTGTAAAAATAAAAACTGAAGTCTTAAATTTATGATTATAGTACTGTTTATATTATATTTTAAAATTAATTATATAAAATATATACTGTGTTTGTTTTTCTTTTATTCTTTGTATTTTTATATTCTAAAAGTTAATTTGGTGAAAAATCATATTTTTGTTACTATATTTTCTAATACGAGATATGCCAGGATATTTCTTTTCATATTAGCCACTTGTATTTTATTTTTCTTAATTTTTAATATTTTATTTTATTTTTAATTTTAGTTTTTCTTTTAGTTTAGTTTTTGAAAACTTTCTACATTTAAAAAATGCTAACATCTCATTTAATAATATAAAACTATTAAATAAAACATTATAAAATATATAAAATAAAAGAAATAGCAAAACATATATACATAATATAATAATATAGTTATCATGAAATAATAAACATAATAATAAAACATATACAAATTAGAGGACAAAATTTTTTAAAAACAAACTCATATAAAAAAAAATCACCACATGTTATAGAAATAACATCATCACTTTCCTCCATAAACACATTACTATTTACTTCCTCATACGCTCAAGTCAATAGGTGATAATTGCTAAAGAGATAAACAAACACAAAATATATAGAAGGACAAGCTAGTGTACAAAAGAGTTACTAAAGAAATCATGTTATATATACAATTTAAGCACATATAAATACAATTGATGCATATTCACATAAGACAAATGACTCTAAACTCAATTATTTAGATACATCTCATTAACATAAGAATTCATTAGAGACATGCATTTGTGGTGGTCTCTACTACTTTGTAGTGGTCTCTACTACTTTGTAGAGTCATAATCAAAGGAAGTCAAGATATCATAACCAATATTCTAATTTGATGAGGGGTCATATTATAAATATTAATGTTTTAAAAAAAAATAACCAACAAAAGTTACATAAAAGAGTTATAGTTCCATATTTTAGAGGGGATTTCTTTCTCTTTATCCCTCTTAAAAGAGAAACTTAAGAGAAAAGTTAAAGTGCTCTATAATTGGAAGATCAAATATCTTTGATCTACATTGTTTCTAATTACCAATAAAGGTGTTTATTTACCGCTTTATATAAGGTATTGGAGATTACTCAATTAGTTGAAATGATCAATTGCTTATTTGTTATTGGTATGTATAAGTGGATAATTTAACAATCTCACAATAAGTGATGCTCAGCGGCATTTATGGCATTCAGGGTCAAACTTTTCATAAAAGTGGTATTCATCAGTGTCCTGCTATTGTTTATTGTTGTATGAGATGTCAACAATTGCATTTTGTGATGAATTTGTTCAATTAATCAAATTGATACTCCTCTCTTAATACATTGGTTGAAAGAGTTTTAAAACATAGGAACTCATACTAATTTTCTTAATTATTCAAATTCTAAATTTCCTCAATCAACACAAAATCAAACAAAATCAATCAATAAAACTCGTACAACATAGGTCAAGACTAGCTTTCCTTTACTTAACTAAGCAGCTCACAAGACTCTGCACTGTGAAAATTTCTCCTAACTTGCAAGGTATCCTTCTCTAAGCGTAGAGACAACATCAAGACGATATGACCATGTCAACAAAGATATTGATCAACATGGATTCAACAAAAAATTCACACAGACACATAAAAATATGAAAAAACTAACGTACAACCAAGATTAAACAAAGAATGTGAGAAAAGAGACTCAAAACTAACTTACCCCAATAAAAAAAAGTATAAATAAACTCGTCAAAATAATCACCTTTACCATCTTAAATCTTCAATTAAATAAAAACTGATAACTTCTAAAAAAAATAAAAGAAATCATGTATTTTAAAATAATAAAATTCAATTTATAAAACTTCCATTTTATATAAATCATTTTAATATTAAATTTTACTGTTTTTAAATAAACGTCCACACTAAAATACTATTTTTTAAATCTCACGATGATGATGGTGTCACTTGGTTCAAAATTTTACTACAATCTATAGTCTATGAAAAGATAAAATAAAACAAAGTAAGGAATAAAATTTTACTAAAAAATTGTGAAAACAAATGGGGTGTTGCTCTCTCCACCACCCCAAGTGCTCCTGCACCTCCTCACTATTTTCTTTTATTCCAAAAATGCTCTGGCGCATTCCCACTATTTTCTTTTATTCCAAAAATATCCTACACCTCCCCACTATATTCAACAATCTTTCTCTTTCTCTCTCCATATTAATGGAGCATTCACATGGCTAAGATTTAAACTTGTGATATATTGTAAAATTTTATTTATACTTTCCCTTAATAAGTTTGATTCAATCTTATTTTCAGTGTTCAATATATTTTTTTTTCTCTTCAAATTACTTAATAAATGGTAAAATTTTGTTCTAAATTTCTAGAAAAATGTTTATATATATGTTTTTTTTTACATTTAATATCTACACTTTTTAACATTATATTATGTTTTAACTTACCGATATGTTTGACTCAAATAACTTGAATAAAATATTTAATTTATTAGATAAATAATATAAAAATATT